AAGGACCATTTTGTATCTATATAAACACAATAGTTAGGATAGATATACAGCTACTTTCTCTTAGTACAATAAGAAAGATTTGTAGTAATAGTGTTTGGACAGGATATCATGTCTGCATCTTGTACTATAAATAATCACTACAAAGACAACAGTATGCACTGTATTAATTACTGAAACTGTCCTACTAATCGATTTTGAAACCGTCTTATTGCTATTTGTTTCTCAATGAAATTAATAAAAAAAATAGCATTGTCAACAAGTCAACCTCTGGAATGTTGAAGTCAAAATTACCAACACCAGCATTAACAATGAGCACCAGTTATGGTGGTGCAGGCTTGTAATCCCAGCACTCTAGGAGTGGGCCTCGTGTCCCAGCTGCCCAGGAGACTGATGGAGAGAATCACTAGAGCCTGGGAACTCGAGGCCATCCTAGGCTATGTAATGAGACCCATATCAAAAAAGAACTTGCCTCTAGCATGCCCAGCCCTCCTGGAATGATATCATGGTTGCCATCTGGAAAGCACATCCCTCTATTTCTCTTCCCCATCCACCCCTCAGCCAGTGCTTAGAGACAGAGCTAAGACCCAAGGCATGGGCTCCAGGCCCCTAGCTCGGCCCTGCACAGGTTCGGGGGTGGAGGAGGGGCATGTGGCTTCCCAGAGACCAAAGGACAAGGAAAATTTGCCTGGAAATGTTGGAGTAGAGGTTTCTTTCCTGCTGGTCCGGAAATACTAAAGTTGGGCCACTGCCAATTGGTGACCAAGTAGCGCAAGACTTATCTCCTCTGAGGCCCAGTTCCCTCATCCATTAGTGCTATTTTGAGCCTGTAGTAACCATCTATTTTTAGAGTGCCAGCACAGTGTCTGAACAGAATAAGGTGATGAAAAATTTATGCTTATTTTCATGCCTCTGATTTCCATCAAAGAAAAAGTAAATACTTCTTGATGAGGAGACAGATCAAATGACTTCCTTCCAACCAAATGTCTTCTCCTCCAGTTAGTAGGAGCTACAGGGGTGGGAAATACCTTAAAAGAGGCCACTCCTGGGTCAGAAATGCCTGGTGCATGCTGGCCGGTGCCATAGCCTGCGTAGCTCACCACCCATGGCTCATGGAAGGTCACCCACAGTTTAACACGGTCCCCAAAGGTAGAGAAGCAAAAGGCTGCATAGTCCAGAAAGGCATCCACCACGGTCTCGTTCTGCCAGCCACCAAGCTCCTGCAGGGCCTGAGGCAGGTCCCAGTGGAACAGTGTGACCATGGGCTTGATGTGTGAGTCAAGCAGAGAGTCGATCAGCCTGTTGTAGTAAGCAACGCCTTGGAGGTTGAGGCTGCTCCTGAGCCCAGTGGGGAAGATCCGGGACCAGGAGATGGAGAACTTGTACACCTGAGCCCGGAGCCCGCGAAGCAGGGCAACGTCAGATGCTGACTTGTGGTAGCTGTCACTAGCCACCGCTGCGGTTGCTTGGCCCCTGGTGGCATTCTGTCCATATTGGTCCCAAATGCTGGCCCCTCTGCCACCCTCAGCCCAGCCTCCTTCCACATTGAAGGCTCCTGTGGAGACGCCCCAGAGGAAGCCATTAGGGAAGTCATCCCGCAAGAAGATATCCCTTTCTGCGCTGGACTGGTTAGCAAAGGCTTCCCAGACCCTCTGATAGGCTGAGTCAGGGGACAAGGGCCCACCCGCCATGTCATGGTCCTGCTGCTTGTCACTCTGAAGGGCCAGGCCATCCGTCAGAGAGCACGACATGCTGTGGGATTGAAGTGAGACAAAGGGAAATAATTAATGACTAAGTTACAAATGTCCTCATGTTGACTAAACAGGTTCAATATATTTAATCAGTAAAATTAAAAATTCCAGAAACACTGCGAAAAGCCAAGTCCACAAAGCCATAGGCAGGAAGTACTGACAAAGGGAGGTGATTATTCCTTCCTAGAAGAGCGTGTACTCATTACTCTTGGTGTGAGAAAAGGAGAAATGCTGCTGTTCTCTGTATCGGATCCCTTTTGTTATGGGTTATATCTAAACGACTCATAAAGCTTCATGAATGAGGGCACAGGTGGGACTTCTGGAGGATGGCTGCATTCTGAGGGCTTACGGCCAATTTGCTGTTAGGTGGGGGCTAGCTGCAAGAGGCTAACACTACAGGGTGTTAGCCTAGAAGGGTTTCCCTCCCATCCTGATGCCTCCCTGACTCTCTCTGCCTCCTGTCTGCCCTGTCACCCCGCCTCAGAACCAACCAACTGAGCTGAAACTTCTCCCCCAAGTTGTGTTTTTTACCTGGGAGTAGTGTTGTACTCCTATAATCCCAGCACTTGGAAGGCTGAGGTAGGAGGATCCCTTTGAGTTTGAGGCCAGCCTGCCTTCTCTCAAAAAGTGAAACCTTCTCTCAAAAAGCCAAAATAAACAAGCAAACAAAAAAGAAATTGTGGGTTCTCATATTATATCTTAGTTGGAGGAAAACAAGATATTCTTTGAATGTTGACTTCAGATCTGGTGCAGTACTTTCTTACAATTTACTGTCTATAAAACATAGCTAATAACAATTACTTCAAATTACTGAGCCTAGATTTTGTGCTAGCCAGAGCAACAAGAATATAGTGTATTATATCATTTAATTTTCACAGCTAAGTTTTGAGATAGGTTCTATAATTATTTATTATCATCTCATGGAGATGAAACTGAGATTTAAAGGAGCAACAGGATATTCTAATAATGGCACTACAGCTGTTTACCAACTAACCAGCAGCCCTGGCTACAGTCTCCTTTCTTCTTCATGTTGCTGGACTGGAGACACATTGGCCAGAGCTCCATCATCCACCAGGGCAAGCGCAGAGCTTGAAGGAAGACAAAGACACAAGAGAGGAGCCTGGATTCCTGGTGACCACACAGTGACCGCAAGTGGCAGAGCAGAGGCTATGCTTTTAGCCACACATGACTGTGTACTTTGTGAATGCTTATGCTTTTGTGCGTGTATTATACCTTACATACATCTGAAATACAATGGCTCATAAAAGTGGTATCCTTGTATGCAGTGTATTTTTTGTTTCTAATGGTACTGGGGGCTGAACTCAGAGCCTGTACAGTGAGCTACATTCCTAGCACCTTTTATTTTGAGACAGGGTCCTGATAAGTTATCTAGTCAGGACTTCTTGCAGTCTTCCTGTCTCAGCCTCCCGAATCTGGGATCACAGGCATGCACCACCATGAAAAGTGACTACAAGTGTGCCTAAGGAGAGTCACATGGGGAGAAGACACTCTCTCAGGCTTTCACAGAGAGCACATTGGCCAAGCAATGGCCGTGACTCATCCACATGGCTGACGCTGACAAAGGTTCTACAATCTGAAGTACAGGATCTCAGGATAAATCCTGAGGGCATTTCACTGAACTTCTCAGACCAAAAAGCTACAACTCTTGTTGCACAGGTCCTGCTTTACCTTGGTCTTAACCAACCAGTAGAAAAGTATGAAGACGAAATATAGGAAGGAAAGCCATGTTCTTATGTTGAACTGTGGGGGACTCAGGTCAATAATTTCTGACATTGCCAGTTAAACAGAAGACCTAATGCTATTATGGGCTACTGGACTCTTTTAGAATATTTTGCTGAGTTTACACACCTATAATATTCAATAACGGAACTTAGAAAAAATGGGGTATACCGATGAATGTCCATTTTGTATCTGTGTATTCAAAGTGGTTAGGATAGATATATAGTTACATTCTGTTAATGAATAGAATGATTTGTTCTAATGGTGTTTGTAAATAGGATCACAAGTCCGCATCTTGCACAGCAATTAACCACTAAGAAGAACATATGCAGTGTATTATTTGTTGAAACTGTACTTCCGATTTGATTTGAAACTGTCTCATTGCTATCTGTTTATCAATAAAATTTTGAAAAAAAAGAAAAGTGACTACAGCTATTAGCGAAACCGCTCCCACAGCTCTAGAGCCCAGGTGCACAGCCGTACAGTGTGCCTGTGCCCACAAACAATGGCCAGTCGTGGCCCTGTGCTCAGCTAATGCCCCGACCCTGGCTCTGTCCTCCTGGCTTGGAGAAGAGTTTGGGAGAATGAATTCTCCCTGGTTGAAGTGGGTGTTGGAGCGGGGAGTCTGGGGCTCACTGACTTGAGTAAAGCCCCGGCTCTGTGTGTCTCACCATCAGCAGACCTGCCTCACAGCATCTCAGACAGGTCCCTTCTCCCTCCACGGGATGTAGGCCGCATCTGGTGTGAGAATCACTTGGGGCCTCTCTCTTATCTGTGAGGTCTACCCTTTCTGGGGACAGCAAGCTGTAGCCACCAACTCTTCTCCAAGCCACTTCTGGCAAGGCCTCCCCAAGCCAGGCCCTGCCGAAGCCACTGTTGGACCTTGGCTTCAGGTAAGAGCCCCGAGGCCAGGGTGCCAGACAGAAGCTGGAGCGGGAGCTGCTGGAGTTCTGTGCTTAGCTCTGCAGCCAGCCCTGGGGAGCCCCCATACTGTGGCTTACTGCACTTTCTTTCCCGAGACACAGCCCCGCACTCCTCGGCTGACTACTGTGCAGTCAGAGAACAGCTGGGTCCTGCCTGCCTGGGCCCTGTCTACACTCCCTGCTCAAGGCCTGACATCCTGCAGCTGCTCAGGTTTACTGATCTGAAATGCTGATTTGAAAGGAGTCGAGAGGCAGAACGACAGAAGGAGGTTATCTCAGGACAGCTGACAGAGAGGAAAGGGATGAGGATATTGGCACCACTGTTTATCAACTGTCAGAGGTAAACAAAGCTCTCACTGGGCGCCTGGAAGCTGAACGACTATCTCTAGCCTGTCCTACCTCAAGGCATGGTATGCAAAGTTGACTGAAATACACCTAGCAGAGGGCTGAGGTTCCGGGGACACCAAGGGTTATTTTCTATGCCATCCTTTCCTGCTTGTGTGACTGATGTGAGATACTAACCTCCTATTGGCTCTCATTTCTTTTAAAGTGCAGTGTGTTATTTACAAACCTTGGTACTTTAGTCATTGATAAGAATTATTTGCAACTTTATCATTAATTAAAGTCTCTGTCCTTAGGGCTCTGTAAAAGCTGCCTTTCCTGTCTTGGGTAAGGGAGTTGTTTCAAGTTTCACACTGAGAATAGAGGGACAAGAACTCACTTCATGAAATTTCCATGCAGTGGTCAGACCTATCTTTAAAGTGGCCTCTCTTCCATGCCCTCTGCCTCTGAGGTCTGAGATCTGCACATTGTGTGCGGCTGGGTGAGCGGACGGGGAGAAGCCATCCCAAGTGACGCCTACACTGAGACGCAGTGAGGGACGACTTCTCTTCTACAGAGAACAGCACAATAAACCTGCAGGTCCAAGAGACAAAGGCAACAGCCCCAGAGAGGCCACCCTTGGCAGAGAACAGCAGCACAGGCTGCACCTCTGCTCTTAATAGCGTAGTAAGCTATCTAGCTTACCTTTCCTTGTAACCGGAACAGCTCAGGAATGCACTGACATCCAACCCAATGACGAGTACTTGGTCTTCATTTATGGCTGTAAAAGAAGTAGTTTAATTCACTCTGCATGAAGCTCAACAAAGAACATGCACATCTGAATCAGTTTTCCTCATTCATAACAACATGCAAACTCTAAGCAATGGCTCTAAAAGCCTCTGGAAAATACCACAGCCTAAGGACTAGGGAGGTCAGGCATTGCTGAGCCGCTCAAGACTCAGAACAGTGGTTCTCAACCAGGCCTGGTGGTACACCCCTGTAATCCCAGCACTCAGGAGGCTGAGGTAGGAGGATCTTTGTGACTTCGAGACTAGCCTGGACTACAAAGCAAGCTCAAGGCCAGCCTGAGTTGCATGGAGACCCTGTTTCAAAAAGACAAAAAAAAATATGAATAAAATAAAACACAAAACAGTGGTGCCTACTTATGGACCACTCACACTTATGAGGAATCAGAATCACCTATGGACTTGGAGAGCTACTACTAGAATCACCTCAAAGCCTCTGTGAGATGTCTGGGTGGAATCTGTGGGCGCAGTCTATCTCTAAGTGATACTGATCCTGTGCTGCTGGTCTGGAACCACAAACTCAGGAGTGACTGAGAAGAATCCAAACACAGAAAGCAGTGGATTCTTGTTGTTGTTGCTGTAAACTGTGGCTAAGGTGCCTCACACTTTATAATTCCAGCTATGCAGGAGGATCACAAATTCAAGGATAGCCTGGGCGACTTGGCAGGACTGTCTCAAAAATGCTGGAGATATGGATGGGTCATAGAATGCTTGTCCAGCACGTGAGAGGACCTGGGTTCAGTACTAAAAAAAAAGTTGGGGTTTAAGCACACATGCACATGAAAGTTACCATGCTATCAGAGATGAGTAAGGGTAACAGCATTAAGTGGCCTCTGTGGAGCCATACAGTGCTGGGGGTGCAAGTGGTGGGCAGGGCAGATGTCCCTGTCTGCTGGCCTATGTGTAAGGGTGACGGTACTATAGGGACTGCCTGTGCTCCTTCCTGTAGTCTCCAATAGCGTCACAGGCTAACAGACCCCAGCTCCCCCCAACTTAGACTGGGAGCAGCTTATTGATGCATAGCCAGTCAGATTCACTGTCAAGAACTTCAACAGATGCTGAAAAGACGGTCCCTGAGCTGCAGGTCTTTGCATGTGAAGGTGTTGCACATCTTCTGTGGCCAGCAAGTCCATATGCAAGCTGAGGTAGCAGGGACACAGACCAGGGGCAACCAGAGGGCAGCGTGAGTCTCTCAAGGCTAAGGGGCAGGGGACAGCCTGTAGAGTGGGCAGGGATGAAAGAACTCAGAGATGCAATGGAAAGGAGCCAGGGTGAGATGGTTCTGTGCTTGTAGCGCACACCTCAGGCCTGGCAGTCTTCTTTTCCAAAAGAGGTACCCTGGCACAGACCTTGCTTTTTAGGACAGTGTGCACTGGTTGCAGGAAAGGCAGGGACTTTGTTCTTCCTAGGGAGGGCTCCCGCCCAGCAATCAAGTCTGCTCCGCACCAGTCGGTGACTGCCAGCCCCAGTAGATGGTCCACTCACCTTCAAAAAGGCTGAGGAGCAGCCCAGCAGGGTTTGTCTTGGTAGAGGGACAATCCTGGAGTTTTAGAGTAAAGATGAAAACTTG